TAATTAGCTTCCTTCTATAGATAAGGTAGGGTCTTTAATGTTCTTTGAAAAACAGGAGTGTGTGTCTGTAAACCTCTGTATCTATGTATGTTTTTCGGTAATTCCTAACCTATAGTGATTTATTTGGAAGAAGAACAAAGCCTTATTCAGATGACATACATGATAATTTCACATACTATCTCACCTATGTTTTTTTATAGGGGATGACCTAAGTTGATTTTCTCCTTTCTGGTCCTGGGGCTGTGCAGAGTTTTTGGGTTATTTACTTTGAAAAAGATGTATCTTTTAAAAGCATTAATCTTTTAAAAAATCACCTTTGATAACAATTTCTGTGAGAGAGCAATGTCCTATTTAAAAACAAACTCTTTGAAAACTTTCTCATTTCTTAATCACTCAGGTAACCATTATCAGATTGACTGGGTTATATGTTGTTTTAGATTTGTCTTTTATATCAGACTGAAAACTTTCATTTTTGCTCTTACTATTGGTCTCTTTCTACTTACACATACTATGCACACACATACACAGGTACAGACACATTCTCCTTCAAGTTTGCCTTCTTCTTACCTACTTCATTGGGTACCAAGCTTGTCAAGAATATAGATTAAACTAGAGAAAAAAGAGACTTGAAACTTCTCAAGTTCAATAAAGCAAGTCCTTACTTTATGTCTTATAGAGGTTCTTGGAAACTGCAACTTTAAGTAGAACAGCATATAACAAAACCAACTTTACCACAGATTAACTGATATAGATAAGAGTCAAGCTTCTACAGCGTATGGCTGGTCACAAAAACATTACCAAACTTCTAAATAGAGACCCAAAACACTTCTAATTTTAAACACTAAAATAAATTTGAGTTATTTATATATTTAGGAAAGATTAATAAAAACAAATAAGATTCTTATTTTTCAGTGTGCTTAGTTCAAGGCCATGGGTGGCAGTAGCCTATCCCTACAGCTCAGGCTGCAAGGGAGGACCTGCTCTGGACAGAACGCCCATCTACCACAGGGACACTCACACCCACCCACATTCACACTCACTCAGGTGGGACAATGTAGACCTGCTAATTCACCTCCTGTACTCAGATTTGGGATGTGTGAGGAGATGGGAATTCCCAGAGAAAACTCAAGCAGACATGGGGTAACATGCAAACTCCACTCAGACCGTGACCCTGGCTAGGAAGTGATTTTTTTTCCTTCATTAATGTTGGAAAGAAGTGACGTGGAAGGAAACAACATTATCTGAGGACTCGCTGTGTTTTTTTTTAAAGTAAAAGCATTATTGGAAGCTTTTAGCATATAAAGGAGAAGACTGACAGTGACCAGAGGGAGGGATAAGGGGGATGAGGGAGGAAAGAAAGGGAAGGGTCTAATCAACGAACAGGTATGATTGACCGGTGGACATGGACAAGATGGAGATTGACTGTGGAATCAGGGGTGGGTGGGGCAGGGCAGAGCAATGAGGGAAAATTGGGACAACTGTAATAAAACGATAATAAAAAATTTAAAAGAGAGAAAAAAGACACAATACACAATCCTTTCCTACTTATTTCCTAGAAGATACTCAAAAAAGACATAGATAGTACAAGTAGAGGTAATTTTAATACAATATTTAATAATCTAAGTACAAATTAAGCCTTAAGGGAAAGAAAATACTTATTTTAATTATGAATATAGATAACCAGGGCTCAGTGGATATAATATAATTAAACAAAAAAACATATAAATTAAAGTTGTACAGGTGAAAATTTAGAAAGTCATGTAATATTGAAAAGAAGACTTCAAAATAATTTTATAATAGCTACCTATGTTCTGAAGTTTATATAATTACAGCTATTTAGTAGTTGAATTAAGTTTGTCTCACTAGAGTTTGTGCTGCTTGCTACCTAATTTTATTTCAAATTAATTTTGTTTCTAAAATCTAAGATACAGTTTATTATTGATGATACTGCTACCTAGTATTAGATACAAATAATCACATTTTGATTATTTTAAGTGTTTTTTTTAAATTTCTATTAACAAAGTAGGATATCTGTTGAAAAGTATGAGCAAAAATATAACTTTTTTCTTTATGGGTTAATTTAATTAAAGTTAAATAGATGCATTATTTTTAATTTTTAAAAATAGATTAGGTAGATATTACTTTTCAATAGTGACATTTTAGAATGTTTTCTTCAAAAATGTTATTTCTATTGCAATTTTAAAAATTCTGTTATTTTACTTGACATGCCATACCTCTCTCATAAAAGAAAATGTGTAAGGTTCTTTGCTCAATTTCAGTCAATTGAAATACTCAGATCAAAATGTGAGCTTTATTTCTTCATGGTTTTATGATATACCATTTCAGTAGCCATTCTTCTTCAATGACTGTTGGCTAGCTAAGAGGAATATGTAATTTTTCTTCATATTTGTTATATTTAGCCACTCTTTAATAATGCCATTCTTTATTAGTATACAATATTAGGAGATGCAGTGGACTATATTGCTTATTTTGAAAATCCCAGAAGTCATTAAAGACCTAAAATAAATACAACATTAAATAGGTTTGAACTACAAATGATAACTTTATCTAATAAACGTTTATATATCTGATTATACTTGTTTGCCAAGAAAACTTGACTGTTTTGTTTTATTATAAAGTTTATTGGCAGAAATTGAGGCAATCATCAGTTTTTTGATTTTAGAGATAGTATCCTGAAAACCTTAAAATTGGAATTATCTGTGCATGACAAAATTTCCTTAATAAATTCTCATTACTTGATTACAGGTTGAATATTTCAGACATCTAAACCAATTAGAGTACTGATTATTTTGATTACCAGAAATACTTAAATATATATATTATTCATCAATGTATTCAGTTTCTATATCAGACACCTGTGATTTAAACATTTTTAGTAGTTTCTGATTCACAGGAAAGTCAGCTGCATTTCATTATCTTTTTATGGATGTTAGGGATTTACTTTTGCTTCATAAAAACATATGAGTAAGCTAATAAGTTGACTGTAGGCAGTATAGGCAACATGGTGTTAGTTTCTAAACTTATTTGTTAATTAGTTTAAGATATAACACTAATAACTAAAATTGTTATTATATATGCATTTATGCTGGCCACTAAGGTATATATATTTTTGACATCAACTTCTGAAAGTCAACATCTAACTCCTTCAATTGTTTGGAAACTAGGCTGCCCTGTGAACTTCAAGGATAGGCTTTAAATGCCTTCTGTGATAATTGTAATTGTTTTCAATTTTTAAATGAATTCTTACATTCAATATTATTATTACTTTCAGGTGTACAGCGTAGTGGTTAGACATTTATATAACTTACAAAGTGATTCCCCCAAAAGTCTAGTATTACCTTGTCTCTTTACATACTGGTAGTTATTATAATATTATTGACTCTATTTCCTATGCTGCACTTTATATCACTGTGACTATTTTATAACTGCTAATTTTTACTTCTTGACCCCTTTACCTTTTTCACTCAGGCTCCCAAACCCCCTCTGATTTGGCAACTATCAACTTCTATGAATCTGTTACAACCTATTTTTTCATTTATTTTGTTATATAGATTCCTTTCGGTTTTGCTGAGAGCCTAAACTGCTCTAAAAAATAAGGTTTATTAATTAAAAAACTTATTAGAAATTGCTATACAAAAGAAGTATTTTTGATCTTGTTTACTTGTATAATACCTCTTTGTTTTTATTCCTTTTCTGTTGTGGTTAAACAGAATTTTTTTCTTAAATCTTAAGAGAATATTCAATAATAATAACTTAAGAAATTCTACTTTCATAATGGTTTGGATCTAACAATCTAGAACGTCCATGCTCCCTTTCATATCTATTAGATTGTTTGTGTTTCTGTTTTTTCATTTCTTTTTTTTTTTAACTTTCAGTTTTCAAAACTTAAAGCAACTTGTATAAAGCAGTTAATTACCAACGACACTCATCTTTCCCCAAAGTTTAGATTTACAATTCTGAAGCTGATTGTGATGACTTAATGTGCTCTTATGTCAGATTGCTGTTTAATATATGGAAGGTTTAAGAAAATTCTTAAGTTTCAACTGGGTTCAACATTTGTGTGCACTGTTACTGCTTTGTCATTAAACTAAATGAGGTATTGAAGTCTTAAAACCACAATTATAATAAGAAAGAGAACTCAACCATAACTGTGTGCCTAAAGAAAATACTAATTGATGGTGCCCTCTTCTCAATTGTCCAAAATAGGGTTGCCTCATGTGGTGTTTTTAATTGAGTTATAACAGTTCTTTCGTACTATTTTCCTCTTTTATGGATGTTTTACTTTATTAAATATGTGTTTCTTTAGTAATTAGGTCTTTTTTTTCACCCCCACAAAATAATAATCTAGTAAGTATAATAATGCTTAGTATGTGATTTACTTTAAGTCTTTATTTTTTCTTTTACTTTTTACTCTAAATTGTATTTCTGAGATTATGGATCGGGGAAATATTTTACGCTGACAGACATGGAAGGTGATTTATATACTAAGAGTAGGATTATATTTTCTTAAAGGAGAAACTATGTATTATGCATTACATATAATATTTGTTATATTACATATAAAATCTTGTGGAAAATTCAGAGATAAGCAACACTTTTTTTTGTATTTTTTGTTTTTATTTTATGTATGCACTACTGTGCAGTTATCATTTTATGGTTGCTGAAAACACAACACTGAACAAGACAGAATCACTGCACTGTGGACCTAACCTACACATATTTTCTCAGTTTTTCTTAGATAGTAAGTGATTTTGTGGCTAAATAAATTTAATAATTTTATTTTTAGAATGAGGTTCATCAAACAAATGAGGTAAATATTAATAGTTTTCTGGTTTTCATAGGATATATTTCTTGAACATCATTATTCTTAAGGTAGATTTATAATTTTAATTAATACTCTTAACAAACAAAATATAACAGTTAAGGAAAACATTACATACCATTGTGCTTAAAATATATATATTTCTCCAATATTTTAGCTGGGAAGTTTTAAGATTCCTTCTGTCAAACATAAGATGGTGGTTGGAAGAATATGGCTTTGATGGATTTCGTTTTGATGGTGTTACATCCATGCTCTATCATCACCATGGGATGGGTAGGTAATCTGATCTATTACAGATATAACTAATGATTCTATGTTATTTTTCACTGGCACATTGCAACCATGTTTGGGGTTCATTTACAGAAGCTGCCATGAGTATTACTATTCCCTTGATTTTTATTATTTCCATTGTATGCATTTCCTCCAGTCACCTCTGATCCCCTTTTGGCAAGAGGTTATGTATAAATACATTTTATAAGTAAATAAAAGATAATGATTTTCTGTTAAATATATGTATATAAGAACATGCTGGTTTTAACAGGTAACTTTCTTCTAAAATGTTTTTTAAGGAAACCTTTTTCTCCACAGTGCTCTCAGAATGTGAACATGACAGCATTTACAATGAAAAATAAATAACAAAAATAATAAATGAGAATGTTTTTGAATGTGTAGGTTCCTGCATATTAAACAGTAAATATGTATAATATATCTATAATATACCTGGTTTAAGTTAAATTATAAATTAATTTATAATAAAACACATTAAACAGAGTTTTTCAATTTAAAAGTTATATAAAGAAATAGGATCACAGAATCTAATTCTTCAGTAGGGAACATGTCAGACAATTATATTTTAATAGTCAAATATCTACCAGCAATAACCAATCCAAAAAAGGGACTTTAGACTGTCAATCTTGAAAAGTGGCTACCAAGGAAAGAAGCTGTACTCAAAGAGTGGTGCTGTCTGCAAAACCTGCAGCACAGTCTTGGAGATGTTCCTCTGGAGTGCTCATGGGCACGAAGTTGAACCTGTAATACATGACAGGTTTCATTCATATCCTTCAGTTTACAGAGTAGCTTATTTAAAGATTGAAAAAGAGAAACATGGCAATATTCAAGAAAGATTTTTTACCAAATTAAAATATCCACATGCCCCTTCAGAATCTGCCTCTGTTGAAGTCTAGGAATTTTGCAAGGAATTATGGGATTGGAGAAATGAACTGAAGTCTATGGATATGGGATATACTTCTAACCCTGTGCAGGTCATGGCTGATCTGAGAAATACAAAAATGATCTATGCTGTAATATTTCGACCTAATGGGTAAAAACAGTGAAACATAAGAAACACATTCTAAGTAACTTGTTTCCCCTCTTTGAATGATGAGAAGAAAAGCTGAAACTGTACTGCAAAAGAACATATACCTGAAAAAGTTGAGATTAAACAATTAACATTAAGACACAGAGTGTTTAAGTTCGTAAAATTGAGTGCTAAGAAGAAATTCATTAGGTTATAACTAGAAAGAAAAATGAATTTGCCTGCATGAATGAAAAAAAAATGGCTGGGTTCTACCACTTTGTTGCCAATGGCAAGGCCTATAAAATTCTAAGGGAAACAAAGTGTGACTGAGGAATTTGGTAATTGAAGTGCCATCGAGGTATAAATTCGAAAGACCTTAAAAAATAAAACTTCCATAATTATACTTGAATATATCCTTCCGTGATGAAATTCTGTAAAAGAAATAATTATTCAAAGTAAAGAACTTTAGAGTTATAGGGAAGTAGGGGGGCGGGGGAAATGTAGGCATTGAGCAATAATTTGATTTAATTAAAATAAGTGTAAACAACTGTAGGAATAGAAAATAAATTGTATAACCTCAATAAGTGAAATATACTATGTGACCAAAGTTAGGAATTGAGGAAGAGGAGGTAAAAGATATTAAAGAATGTTAAAACCTTTTTGTAATCAAAGGCAATCCATGTTGCATAAATTGAAGCACATATTTAAAATAATACAAACATTATGGGTCGAATTTATGATAGTTTTCATATGTGCTTTCCATTACTTCAGAGGTATCCAATAGAAGCTAGCTAAATTAACATTTGAGATGATAAAAAATGGATCTAAATTTTGAAATTTAGAATTTCTTTCACTATCATTTCAATGTATTTTTCTGCTATAAAATTCAATTAAACTTTTAAATCAAAGTGTTTTGTTTGTTTGCTTTTATAAAACAAAAAATTGAATTGCAGGATTGTTGATATGGAATAATTTTCTAACTTTGATCATATATTTATGATGATGACATTATGTGCTATTGAAGCTTATTACACTTTGCTATATCAAAACTGGTATTAACATACTAATTGGTGAAATTTGTTCAGAGTTAAGACTTGCATGTTAACAATGCATTTACATTGATCTTATGTTCTCTAGGTCAAGGTTTTTCAGGTGATTATCATGAATATTTTGGACTACAAGTAGATGAAGATGCCTTGATTTATCTCATGTTGGCGAATCATTTGGTTCATACATTGTATCCAGATTCCATAACAGTCGCTGAGGTAAAGCCATAATGATCTCTACCCTCTAACCCCCTTTAATGCAGAACATTTTGTCAGTATGCAATATTTGAATAATTAATCTCATGTTGTCAATAATTGCATAACTGAAATTATACCCTGACTACAGTGCAGCTACCTTGTATTGGTGACATATTATTTACAATTTCACTCTTTGCCTTCTAGGAGATAGAGTATACTAATTACTTGTCATTATTCCATTGTTAAAAGAAAAAATGCCAATGGTTAGAAGGTAAAATATCCTAATCAGTGGACTGGTCCTTCTTCCCTGAGACCTTCAGCAGAGAAAAGAATTGAATCAAAAAGAAGTTTATGTGCTTCTGTTTGTTTGTTTGTTTCTGGTTTAATCAGTAGAGATGGCAGGGATCACTGCCTGGGAGCTCCTCTGTAGCCTCTCTTGTTCTGATGCAATTACCTTTCTTGTTTATGTTACTGCTCTCCGATTGCCAAATGTTCACTAGTTATTCATGATCACTGAATGTTCATGATTAACTGTCCCAAAGCTGCACTATAATGATATAATTCGGTATATGCATAATTGACAATTCCCCTCTTGGTGATAAATGTGATAAATTAAGAAGTTTGTTAAATGCTTATGCTAATTTAGGTTTAGCACTAAACTCCCTCTGGTTTCCTAAGTCTTCTGACTAGAAATTATTATTAAAATTGAATTCATTATATTAAAACTGTTCTATGCAAAATGTAGTGGTCGTCATATAAAAATAAAAAGACTGTTGTTAAAAGATTGAGAGTTAAGATGTATTTTCACATTGTTGGACTTTAGTTCATTGGAATGAAATGTAGTAGTTAATGACTGTCTCCTTTCTGTATTACTTATTATTCATTTAGCATTTTTTCTTCATTATTTCTCAAAATCCCCAACTCCCAACTAGGTGGTATAATTTTCTGCATAGAAAACAGTTACACTCTTTAGTCATTTTCCTTATAAATATCTTCTAGGGATAAAGCTATGGATCTTAAAGCCCTGGAATACATTCTTATATAGAATTTTTTTAAAACCCAACTATTGTAGTACCATTTTGATATCCAGTATGAATTTCATATTCTTTACATACCTACATTTGATCATAGTTTGTAAGTCTTGCTAATACTTGTGCTAATACTTTGTGCTGACCATCTTTGAACATCAATCACAGTGTGTTTTAAAATTGTATTTTGTCTGTTATATATTTTAATTTTATCTTTCAAACATCAAAAATTTAATTATTTTGTGAATTATATTTATGGTGATTCAAAGCAGAGATAGTTTATGTGACAAGTTACTATCAACAATTAATGACACACAAATCAAAAGTTCATACTGAAAAATAGAGGCAAATACTTAATACATGAAGCTTAAAATTGTTACATTGATCCCTTCATTCATTTCAAGTAAAACAGTTCCATCATCTGGGGAGCCCTTGTCTGATTATCTGTGTTTCTACCAATGAAACTTTGAGGCTCTAGCCTATTTTGTATTAGTTGGTTTCAGATTTTTTTTTTTTAAACAAGATGTGTCTTCAATTTATTTTACTTAAATTGAAAACTACTTCAATTTCAATATATCACTTTTCTGTCTAGTGGGAATCTCTTCAAAATGTGGAATTGATCCTCATGAACTTTTTTTGAAGAAAGGGATGTGGTATAGTGGATAAGTAATACTGTTTTATATAGAGTCCTATAGTAGATATTTGAATTTGTTTATAATGACATTTGTTAAAAATTGAAAGCTTTTTTCTGAACTATATCTACCACTCTACATGATTATATTTGCTATATTAATCTATTGATTTAAAATATTTTTAATTAAGGTTTTTCCCCATCTGGAATAGTCGTAAGTGCCCTTTAGATATTAAAGAATGAGAACTGTTTTAATGTCATTTGAAACACCTATGATTATTTCAGTATGCTATGTTGGCAGGTATCAGCCTTGTATATTTAAAATATATTTCAGTGATCTTTATACTTACTTTCCTTTTCCTTTCAATATTTTGAAAGGATAGCCATTAATTCTCCACTTTCAAAAGAGAGTTACAAATATCTCATATGCATTAATGGGGAAGGTTTTTAGGATTCAGATTTAGGAGTCAAGAAAAACTGGTGTCCAAATATTTTTATTTAGCAGTCTCTATTTCCTATCAAATTATTTCTTAAAGCTTAGGTAAATATAGAATTTACCTTACTGTTTTCTTGAGAAAATTATCTTGATCTTTAATACCAACCCATTACCAATTTTACGAAAACTCCTCGTCTTATGGAAACTCTTGTCAAAAGGTATTGTGTTGCTAATCCCAGAGCCTAACATGTGTGTCTGATATTGAATACATATTCAGCCAATGTTTATAAAGAATCAATTAGATAACTATCATATCTGCGAAAATGTAGCATATTTTGAAATATATAACTTCTTTTAAAATGGCTTCTTTTCTGTTAACCTTCTTTTTTTACTTACTTTCCAGTCATCTACTTTTTAACTTTTATACACTATAAAGTACTATGTAGAAATAAAGTTTAATTGACAAATGTTTTATTTCTTAGTGGATGTATTGCACCATGTATTGTATTTACCTATACTGCTCCTTTGAAAAAAAAAAAGCCAGTTAATAAATGATTTTGGGAGACCAGAGAGGTCATATATTTCTTTGTTCCAGCTTTTCTGTGGGGACAGTTTGGGGAAGGTATTGTGGAAGAGGAAGCATTTATTTCTCAGCAAGCTCATAGTATGATATTCTTTTATAGGAAGAGTTCGGACAAGGATGTAAGTAGAAAAGCTTGTGACATGCACAGTGGAAAGTACATATTTCAAAGTGGATAAAGTATTGCATACTTGAGGTGAAATAGTACAATATAATTTTAGATGTATGTCTCTCCATTGCACTTTCTGTGTACTTAAGAGAACAATGATCACAATTTTATCATATTGTCACTTCATGGTAATGTGTGTCTATGTATTTAGGTTGTAGTTTATGAATCCCTGAAGGTCAGAGAGTATACCTTATATATTTTCAAATTCCGGAAGGACATTCATTCATTCATTCACTCAGCAGAGTCCTGGCTCTAACATTGAGAAGCATATATCTTTAGAGATCCCTTCACCTCAATAAACCTCAATTTCTTTATCTTCTAAATGAAGAAGATCCACTAGATAACCCCAAAGACTCTTATACTGAAAGCCATCTTATTGCTTTACTCTTAATGTACTAACTCAACTTTCCATTTCATCAAAAATAAGCTAAGTGAGCTAAGTGCTCCCAAAATACACTCTATGCCTGATAACAAGAATAACAGATATATGCTACATGTATTTTAATGATTCATGAAAGCAGTAACTAATAAAAAATGCTCAAAATAGTTAAAAAATCAGTCTAAGAAATCGTGTTTTAGCAATTATACTTGTACTATTCTGTTTTCTGTGTGTGACAATAAGGAAAAGAAAAATATGGCCACATGAGATCAAAGTTGTCCTGCATTGAAGAGCATGGTATCAAATTTTATTGGGAAATGAGATATGCTATCACAGTTTTATCTTACTTTTACAATATGCGACTGAAACACTATAAAAATATATGCTTATGCCCTTACATATTGTTTTCATTTATTGGCTTCACCATCACTGTCAGAAGGATATTTAGTAAAAATTTGAGCATTGTGAACTGATGATGCTGATGTCCTTTGTTTTAGGATGTATCAGGAATGCCAGCTCTGTGTTCTCCAATTTCCCAGGGTGGGTGCGGCTTTGACTATCGATTAGCCATGGCAATTCCAGATAAATGGATCCAGGTAAGAGTTCCTGTAAATATTTTGTGTGTGTGTGTGTGGATAGTATGTTTTATGTTGGGTTTTTTTTTAAATGTATTTCTTAGTTGTGATTATTAGTACAGATATTACAATTGAAGTACTGAATTCTCCCATAAGTGTGTTAATTCTTGTGCTTTTCAAACTTCTAAAAGTTCTAATATAAAGTATTCATATTTTTACTACTCAGGCAAGGGAAAAAATATGATTAATATAAGGTTATCTGTGTAATTATCAATGCAGTTGTACAAAACTTAAGTGCTCTATATTTAAAACATATTCAACTTCATCAAAGTATCCATTTCACCTTGCAAATTATCAATTGATGGAGAAGTTACTCCTTAATTTCCAGTACTTAACTTCGTAGTATGGTCTCTTCTCAGCATATTTGGATACACCCAGTTCTTCAATCAGCATTTAAAAGTCCTTAGCATGTGTTAGTAACTCGAAATGAATAATTGTACATAACACCTTACATATCATTTCTGATACAATTGCATTAAACTTAATGATAGTTCAAGCAGTTGGGATTGCATCTTGTTTCATTTCATATGTGCATTCAGGACTAAATTTATTATATACACTTAGATATGATATAGAGCATTTTTGAGTGGCCAACTCCATAATCATAGGCTGAATATGTGTAAGGAGTCAGATATATATCAAATAATCATAGCTTTCTGATGAGCCCTTTAGTACAGACATGAACTGGTGCCATGAGATCACAGTGTTAGAATTGCTTGACTTTGCATAGAACAACCATAGAAGTTATTCTGAAGGAAGTGGTTTATTGTAATCATCTCTTAACTGTCTTTCCTGTGGCCTGAGGTAATTTGTGCAGTGCACAGCTGTGACATGAAAACTCTACCACCAGAATTTCTGTTTCTCCTTTTATAATGACTCTTCAAACATTGTCGACTCAAAAACCAAGTGACAATTAATCTTAGAAATAAAACAAATGAGCTGAGCATCTTGCTTTGATACCTGAGAAAGTTTCTTTGTATTTGTTAGTTTAAAAACTGGTGTTGTCTTCAAGTTTCTTATCTTGGTTTAAGGTTCTTTATCCACTCACCATCACTTATGATTTCTTCCCTTTCACACAGACTTTTTCCCCAGCAAGTGCCAAATCTTACCTTGTTAACATCTCACTGAAAAGCCTTCACCATTCACCAGTCTGTGCAGATTCAAGAATATTTCAGGGTGTACATCAACCTAGAATATTTTTCCCAATCAGTCACAATGTACAGTGGGATTATTTTCCTTTTATGAATGATGGCATTTTTTAAAAATTTTCAATTTACTAAAAGTTATATACCTTGTATGCTTAAGGCACTGTGCTAGGCAGCACATCATACAAGTGGGAAAATGTGTTGTCCTATATATAGGATGTGACTATGCTCTCTGTTTAAATTGTATGTACTCTGAGGCAGATGTCACCTTCTGTTTCATGTAATTAAAAATATTTTTGCATCACAAAAATAAAGCCCTTTGTTAATAAAACTAAGGAGAGTTAAAATAAATTTTTAAAACTCAGTAATATTCCCTGACTTTTATAATTTGTGCATTTAGTAAAATAACTGCATAAATGACTGTCTTTCCCTCAAATGTCAATAACACATGGAAGAGTATTAATCCAGATGACACTTGTACTCAGAATGTATGTCGCATTTGTTGTTGTCTACCCATAGAGCATGAGTTAGATTAAATGCTAAATTCCATTTGAACTTTTTTTGTTCAAAAGCAAATTATTTACTGTATTCTACTTTATGTTTAATAATCACCAGTCGGGACTATTATATTAGTGTAATCATTTATTGAACAAATATTTGCCTATAGAAAATATGCCACATATGCTCTATCTCCTTTAATTTTATTTGATCATTTTCATTATCTAATAACTGTTTATGTAAAAGTTATATAAGTAAATTGAATTCATTCCTTTCATTGATTCCACTAAATATGTATTGTGTACCAATTTATTATATAAATAGATTTTTAATTAAACATTCTATATTGAGAAAATTATAAATTCATATGCAGCATTAATACAGTGAAATCTGATACTTCTTTACTAGTATTCCCCACCCCCCAATGATAACGTTTTGCAAAACTATATTACAATATCACAACCACGAACATGGATGTAATCAAGATTCGGAACACTTCCATCACCGCAGGTTTCCTTGTATTGCTTTTACACACACACCTACATCCCCCATCCCCCTCATCACTTCTTAAGCTGTGACAACTACTAATCTGATCTCCATTTCTGTAATTTTGTCATTTCAAGAATGTTGTATAAATAGAATTGTATACTATGTTACCTTTCTGGATTGTCATATTTCACTCAGGAAAGTTCTCTGGATATTCATGCAGGTTGTTGCATGTATCAGTTGTGTATTTCTTTTTAATGCTGAAGTATTCCATGGTATGGATATACCACAGTTTCATTATTTGCCCAGTAAGAGACATCTGGATAATTTCTAGGTTTTGGCTGTTATAAAAAAAAAAAAAGCTGCTATAAACATTTGTGTACATGGTTTTCTATAACCTTAAGTCACACTCTAGGATAAATGCCTAAATATTTTCATTATTTTTGGGTAAATGCTCAAAAGTACAATTAATGGATCATATAGTAGTAGGATGTTTAATTTTTTAGGTAACTGCCACACTGTTCCCAAAGTAGCTGTACCATTGTATATTATCACCAGCAACACTGGAGAGACTCAATTTCTCTACATCTTTGCATAATAGCTTTTGGCGTTGTCCCATTTTATATTAGTCATTCTAATAGGTGTGTAATGATTCTATTATCAAACAAAAGTGGGGTCCGGTTGCCTCCTGCCACCTACAGGTAAATTCCATAGGCAGAGGCTGGTGGGGAAGGGAAAAGGTCTGTATTAAAAGGTTGTACAATTGAGAGGACAAGTAATTCCCCAACTCCAAGCTCATCTCCTCTGCAAAACACAGACAAAACCCATCTGTTCCCCAAAAGACTAACCCCCCCCCCAAAAAATGCCCAGAATTCCCACTCCATCTTTATCTGTCCTTTGGTACTCAAGGTAGCTAAGTGGGTTGCTGTCTAGCTTCAGGCTCCTTCCTGGCGTCCGCATATGGGGACAGCACAGTCATTTGCTACACAGCTTCCAGGCGCAGCAGGGTCCTGTAAATCCCTGCCCACATATCTCCCAGGTGGATCCAAGGGGAAGAAAGTGTGTTTCTCCCTTCCCTTGGTTTAGATCTCCTGACCCAAACTTCTGCAGTGCTCCAGGAGGGTTTGGCCCCCACCCCCGCCAATCCCATCCTTTTCCCAGGCTAGTCTGACAGTACAGCACCTCCCTCTGCTGTCCTGTTGACCTTTATGGTCACATTGGGCAGGTCCACTGGGACCGGAAGCAGTAGCAGGGCTTTTAGCCTTAGCCCAACATTTCACTTGCCTAGTGCACATGCACACACTCAGCACAATGACTTCTTCCTGCACGTCTTTGCCTGGGGGTGGGGAATCTTTTGGCATGTGCCTCAATAAGTTGGTTACCTGGGAATGCTGCTTCACCTGCATTGCCTCATGCGTTTCCTGCAGCCCTTCCCTCACAATTATGGCACTGGCCAGGCTATGCTGGTATCAATATCTCACTGTGGTTTTAATTTGCATTTCCTTAATGGCTTATAATGGTGAGCATCTTTTCCTTTGCTTATTTGCCTTCTGTGTATTCTCTTTGGTGAAATGTCTGTTCTTGTCATTTGACCAGTTTCTAAATGGATCTTTTGTTTATTGTAAAACTTTGAGAGTTTTCTATATATTCTAAATTCAGTTCTTTTGTTAGATATGTGGTTGACAAATATTTTACTTGGCTTCTCATACTCTTCATGTAGGCGTTCACAGAGCAAAAGTTATTTATTTTAAATTTGATGAAGGCTAATTTATATTATTTTTCACTTTAGAGGGTGTCTTTTTTGTTGTCTAGTCCAAGAATGTTTTGACTGCCCTACGTTTTCAATTAAATATTTATAGTTTTAATTTCATTTCATTTTACTATTTTTTTAATTTATTTTTTATTGTTCAAATACAGTTGTCTCCATTTTCCTACCGTCACTTTCCCCTGCCCCACCCACCCCCACCTCCCAGCCTCAACACTTCCCCACCGTGGCTTTGTCCGTGAGTCCTTTATCTGTGTTCCTTGATTGACCCTTCCCCTTCTTTTCCCTATGACCCGCTTCCCTTCTTCCCTCTTGTTGCTGTCAGTTTCTTTTTTCTTTCAATGTTGCTGGTTATATTTTCCTTGCTTGTTTTTTTTGTTGATTAGGTTCCACTTATAGGTGAGATTGTATGGTGTTTGTCTTTCACCCCCTGGCTTCTTTTACTTAGCATAATGCTTTCCAGTTCTATCCATGCTGTTGCAAAGGGTAGTAGCTCTTTCTTTCTACTGCATAGTATTCCATTGTGTAAATGTACACTAGTTTTTTGATCCACTCATTTAACTTTATACTTAAGTTTATGATTCATTTTGAGTTAATTTTTTTGTACTGTGAAAGACTTAGTTAAATTTTCTTTCCCCCGCTTGGCTTATCGATGTCCAATTCTTCCAGCATGGTTTATTAAAAAAAAAAAATGCATCTACCTTCCATTAAATGATTTTTGTGCATTTTTTCAAAAGTTATCTGTGCATATTTATCTATACATTTGTTTTAAATTGTTGCTATATCTCATTACCACAAACTTAGTGACTTAAAACAACACAAATTTATGATAATTTAGTTCTTATATCTCTGTAGATCACAAATCTGAAATGGGATTAATAGGCTAAAAGAAAGCCACAGGCAAGGCTACCTTCCTTCTAAAAGTTCTAGTATTTTTTGTTTTTGTTGCCTTTTCCAGCTTCTAAAAGCTACCTGTATTCCTTGGCTCATGGCCTCTTCTTTCATCTTCAAAGCCAGCAGGATAGCAGCTTAAATCTCTCTCTCATGCCCGTAAGTCATGTCTCCTTTTTAGAAAGATCTCTGAGGTACATTGGTATCCATATTTTGGACATTAGGATGGGAACATCTATGGGTGACCATTATTCTGCTTGACATAGTCTGCACTCTGGTGTCCAGCAATTCAGAAAGTAATCAAGAGGGATGGCTAAGCACACATGAATTTCATACAGGAAAAAAAGTCAGCAAAGGAAGATGCAAGCCAGCCTGAAAGCGAATTTCTGGTACAACATCTGCATTAATATTCTCTTGCTGCATAACAAATTACTACAAACTTGGCAACTTAAAACATTACTCAGTTATTATCTCATGGTTTCTTCAGAGGGCATCCATTATATTCAGAGGTTCCCCGCCCATACACTCTTGCAGTGGTATCCAACCCATGGTCTGTAGGCTGCATGAAGCCCAGAATGGCTATGAATGCAGCCCAACACAAAATCATAAATTTACTTAAAATGTTAGGAGATTTTTTTTTGTTGTTATGCGTCACAATATATTTAAGGTGTGGCCCAAGGCAACACTTCTTCTTCCAGTGTGGCCCAGAGATAACAAAAGGTTGGATAACCCTGGAAAGTATCACACAAAGGTGTGAATAAGAGGGAGCGGGGATCATAGGGCCACCCCAGAATTCTGTGTATCACAGAATGCAGTTGACACTTTGAAAAGAGAAATGAGCCCATGCAGAAAGAGTGCAAAAGAAAAAAGGCTATTTTGAGTATGTAACTTCGAAGAGCACCAGCTTTTATAGGACAGGCAGAAGAAGAGACTTTGCAGGATGCCTAGAGTAGTGGGAAAACAAAACAACAGTTTCAAAGTGGTGGACTAAGAGGGAAAGCATTTTGTGGGGAAGGAAGGGGTTAGCCTTCTCAACATGTACAGCTGGTAAGTATTAGCCTAAGAGCATTTACTGACCTAAGAAACGGTCATCTGAGAGCTTGGAGAGGGCATTTGCACTGAGGTGGTGGTGTTAGAGGGCCAGAAGGCAGATTGAAGACTGTGTGGCAAAGTGAAGAAAAAAATGTGTGGTCTGTTCAGATAATTATTTCATAATAATTAGTCTTTAAACTTTTATTTACTTTTTAATTTATTTATTTTTATTGTTTATGCTATTATAGTTGTTTCTGCTTTTTTCCCTTTCCCCACCTCCACTGAGCTCTCCCCTCTCCCCTTTCTAATTCAATCCCCATATTGTTGTCTTGTGTCCATGAGTTGTGTATAAATGTTCTTTGGCCAGTCCCTTCACTATCTTTCATCCTGCCCCACCATCCTTTCCAGCAGCTGTCAGTCTGTTTCATGTATCTAAGCCTCTGTTATCATTTTGTTCATAAGTTTCTTGTGTTCATTAGATTCCACATGTAAGTGAGATCATGTGATACTTGTCTTTCACTGACTAGCTTAATACACTTAGTGTAACATTCTCCAGTTCCATCCATGCTATTGCAAACTATGAGTTTATTCTTTTTTACTGCTGTGTAGTATTCCACTGTGTAAAGGTACCAGTTTTTGTTTGTTTGTTTTTTTATCCACTCAGCTACTGATAGGCACTTACCAAATATGGGCTGTTGTAACTACCACTGCTATTAACATAAAGGTACATAAATTCTTCTGAATTGGTGATTTGGCATTCTTCGGGAATATTTCCAGCAGCAGCATCACTGAATCAAAAGGCAGTTCCATTTTTAATTTTTTGAGGAGAATCCATACTATTTTTCACAGTGGCTACACTAGTCTGCATTCCTACCAACAGTGCAAAAGGGTTTCCTTTTCTCCACATCCTTGCCAGCCTTGTTGTTTGTTGATTTATTGATGGTAGCCACTGTGACAAGTGTGAGGTGATATGTCATCAAGGTGTTAATTTGCATTTCTCTGGTGATTAGTGAGGTTAGGCATTTCTGCATGTGTCTATTGGCCACCATCTGTATGACTTCTTTGGAGAAGTGTCTATTCAGGTTTTTTGCCCATTTCTTAATTGAGTTGTTTGCCTTCCTGGTGTTGAGTTATATTAGTTCTTTGTATATTTTGGAAATGAAACAACAAAAAAAGCTATTTTTTTAATCCAATCTAAAAATTTGAGAAATATATCTCTGCCTTGTAAAAGTTAGAGAAAGGTATATTGACAATAATACTTTTCTTGTAATTATTAATCAAGAGGTAGCAGTTTTTACAGGGGAAAAAAATGTTGGCAAAAATCTAAAAGTGCAATGATCAAACCATCTGCACAAATATAAAAATACATTCACCACACACACACTCACACTCTCTTACACACACACACTGTATCATTGTCATTTGGGCAGTCTGCTTAAAAGCTATGATTTCAGAAAAAGTTTCAGCAGACATCTTTGTTATATGGGTGCGCATGTATCTGTGTCAAATAATATGGATTGGTATGATCCTAAACCATAGGGTGTATTGGTACACCCTAAAGTTGGAATTTAATGTAAGTATAATAATGGTTTGCAAATTATGTCCTGTCTCACATCTAGCTGCTTAAAGAGTTTAAAGATGAAGATTGGAATATGGGCAACATAGTGTACACACTCACAAACAGACGCTACCTTGAAAAGTGCATTGCTTATGCAGAAAGCCATGATCAGGTAAATGAATATCTGTGTAAACACATCCCTCTCTCTGTCCTCCATCTCTCTGAGCTCTCTGCATATGTGTGTGTGTTTGTATATATTAACATACTTAAACATAAATTTCTATAGTTCAATACAGTTACTAAAATGTATTATATGTATTTATCTACATCGGTATCTGTATGTGAAAACTACTTACACTTGAAAAACATTTTAAAATTATTTTGTAGAACTATAAATTCTAGATTCAAAGTGTAGTGCCATTTTTATCCTGCCAAAGTCTAATTAAAAGATTATAAATGACACTTACAAGTGTTATCTTACATGCTTTTCTTCATTGTAATGAGAGGAATATTGGTGCTAATGTAGGTTAATTTTAATTTCCATTTTTCATCTCCTTCCAGAGGTTTTCTTTTATGCCTTTTGACAGACTTTCATTTCTTTTCCTCAGTCACTAAAATATTCTGTTTTTTGATCACTGTCCCCTGAGTTGCAGTCCATCTTCCCTGATGTGGCCTGAGGTATTTTCCAAAAAGCAAAGCTTATTTTGTCAACCCAGATCTTTTGAGTAAAGCTTGTTGTTCAAGGACATGCACAACCTGACATGAGCCAGAATTTCACCTTCATTCTCTATTCAACTCTGCAAGCAACCTGTTCTTCAGTACTGTGAAATTCTCACTCATTCCCGAATAGCTTATCCTCATTTCAGTTGTGTCCCTTTGCCCACGCAGCTATGATGTCCGCTTCACCTGGGAAACTACTGTAGAGAACCCACTTCTATGGCTCAGATACCACATTGTCTCTGAAGCCTTCATCTAGTTGTCTAAAAAAAAATAATAAAAAATATATATGAGGCTCAAAAAATTATTTTACAAAACACCTCAATAAAGTTAGGAGCAATCTATAATTAGGAGCAATCTATAATTAGATTATGGAACTATAGTTGGAATAGGTAATTAAACTAAAATATAAATTGTATTAAACATGAGTATATTTTTAAGAAAAAGAAAAAAGAATAGTTGCTCCATTATTTATATTCTCATCATGTAAATTTGTATTTCCAGCCTTAATACTGTGACTGCTCCAAGCAGTCACTTAATAAACATAAATAAATGGGGGGAAAGGCCAGTTTGCTTTTTAAAGTTATAATACTCCTCATAAACATAAAGAACATAAAGTGTACTCCTTACACATTAAAAATGAGACAGTGAAACGTTTTGAATTGTTGGCTGTATATGTACTAAGAAAATTGAAGCTTAAAAAAATAAGCTGCTCACCCTGCCTGGTGTGATTCAGTGTATTCGTCACTCACCTGCTCATCAAAGGGTTGCCAGTTCGATTCCCAGTCAAGGCATGTGCCTGGGTTGGGGGCCAGGTCCCCAGTGTAGGGGAGGTGCACGAGAGTCAACCACACACTGATATTTCTCACCCTTTCTCCCTCCCTTCCCCTCTCTCTAAAAAAATAAATAAAATCTTTTTTTTTAGCAGAAATTGACAGGTGTTTCTTCAAGTGTATTCTCTAATTATTAAGAAAGTGTAAGTGGATCAGAGGTCAGCTGTAAAAACCCATGGGCCAAATTCTGCTTGCTTCCTGTTTTCCTGTAAAGTTATTTGGAACACAGCCATGCTCATTCATTTTCATTATGTGTATGGCTACTTTTAAGTAGCTGAGACAGAGTAAGTGGCACATAATACATAAAATATGTACTATCTGGATTTTATAGAAAGTTTGCTGACTCATGAACTAAACATATGTTAAATTTTGCACCTTTCAAATCAGAGCACTACTGTCTTTTCAACTTAAGTTGGCTGTAGAACAGAACAAATAAATATGAAAAAACCAGAACCAAACTATTGCAGAATAATAAATGAGTAATAGCAAGTCAAAGGTGTGTGGAACCACCAACCAAATTCATAATATGAAAACTAAAATGCATTCCCAAATTATATCTCTCTATTGCTAATTCCTAGCAGTTGTAGCACATTTTGATCTTCTAATATGTTCTTGTTTTATATGAATGAAGAATAAATAAATGAAGGGAATAAACAAATTGAAGATAAAACTTTTAAAATTCACTCATAATTTTCATCCAAAAGGTATTGAAACATTATGGATTTACCAAGAATAATTTCATATTTTACAAAGTCAAGTAATTCTTCCTTGTATTACAAATTATCAGGCGTGTATAAAAAGATGCAAGTTGCCTGTTTCTTTCTAAAAGCAAATGTACAAATAAATCTCCTAAAAATTATAAATATACATGGTGAGTGTCAAAGTAGGTTTACAGTTTTAAGTATGCAAAAAAAGAATTTATTCTTGTATTATTATTTATTAATTTTTGTACTATTTTCTATATGAACAACTGTAGACCTAATATTTCCCCACCCTGTATATTATAAAATGAATAATATAGAAATATATACATAATAGTAAAAATCTAACAGAATTTATCAAAATGATTTTATAAAAGAATCAAAGATTAATGGAATAAACACAGTTAAAATATAATTAATTCAGAGTAAGTGGGAAGGACCAATTGTTTAAGAAATAATGCTGCCCAATCAAAATTTAACAAATATATTTATATGTTATATACATCGTTTTCAAACTTTTTTTAGCTATAGATCCTAATTTTAAACGACACTTATATGGAACTTCGTGTTGTATGTCAGACTGAAGATGCATTTTTTTTGATACATGTATTAATGTTAGAGTTGCCATGACAAAACACCACAGACAGGGTGGCTTAAATAATAAATTTATTTCTCATAGTTTTAGAGGCCAGAAGTATAGGATCAAAGTGTCAGCAGGTTTAGTTTCTCCTGAGGCCTCTCTCCTAGGTTTTCAGAAGGCATATTCTCTCTATGTCCTCACATGATCTTTTTCTGTGCACATTCATCCCTGGTGTTTTTTCCTCTTCCTATAAGGACACCACTCACTGGATTAAGACCCCAACCTTGTGACCTCATTTACCCTTATTGCCTCTTTAACCTGTCTCCAAATACAGTCACACTGGCAGTTGGAACTTCACCATGAATTTGAGGATGGGGGGCACAACTCAATTACAGTAAACATTTTTGTATGTTTAGATTTAAAATATTTACCTTTAAGTTAGAGAACAAGGAGCTTACTATGATAAAGCAAAAAAAGTTTAACTCAAGTAATACAGATGAAAATTACCATTTAATCAAAGTTCAAGTTTGATTAAATGGTAAAGTTATTGGTAAAAATGAAAAATATGTTTTCTATTTTATGGAAAAAAACCATACAGACTTTTTGGCCAACCCAATAAGTCCATATTTTTTTTCCTTAAAATACACATTTTTCATTTTCACCAATAATTTTATTGGTTTGGATATTTTGAGTATGTCAGCTATCTCCTACTATTTATTGGCTTCTAGTGGGTAGAGACCAGGGGTGCTGCTAAACATCTTCCAATGCATAAGACAGCCCCAAAGCAAAGAATTATTTGGCCAAAATGTCAATAGTACCAAGAAACTTCACAAACCACTTTTGATACATTCGATTGGTCATAGCACCTTCTCTATACACTGCACAAATCTTTTTTTCTTCTTGCGTTCCAGTTGTATTTTTAACTTTCTTGAAATAGTAAAGCATAATATACTGAAAAATGTATATCTTCTTCCATCTTCAATATTAAAATAGTTGCACAAAAATTCACCAATTTTTATTTTTTTCTATATTTACACTTGATAAGACAGCTGTCATTATACAATCTTAACAGAATTGTTTCAAATGAAGTTAAAGATACATAAGCCATACTAGAGCCATCAACAGAGAAAAACAAATGAACTTTTTGGCCAATCCAATACGTATATATAATATACATCCATATAAAAGATTATTTAGAAACTTACATTTTTTCAAAACAAATTCATAATATGAAAACTATTTTAAAATCTATTTTGCATACTCAATATTATAATAAATATTTTTTTCCAATTTCAGAAAATTGGAAGCATATGCTCAGTTATAATAGTCAGATAGCTTATTGTGCATTTTTAACCAAGCCCTTTTAAAAATAAATATCAGCCCTGGCTGGTGTGGCTCAGTGAACTGTGTGCCAGCCTGTGAACCAAAGGGTTGCCAATTCGATTCCCAATCAGGGCACATGCCTGGGGTGCAGGCCAGGCCCCCAGCAGAGGGCACGCAAGAGGCAACCACACATCTATGTTGTTCTCCCTCTCTTTCTCCTTCCCTTCCCCTCTCACTAAAAATAATGAAAATCTTTAAAAAAATAAAAAATAAAAACAATCCTGAAACACATTTATCTCTAACATGTTTTAACAGCTCGCCTTCAGCATAGAAAGTAATTATTAGAATATACATTAAACTACTACTAATTCATATGCTCTCTACATTGTTTTTCATCCTGTGATATTCTAGTGTAAATCATAGCTGCTTTGTTCCTGTTCTTTGCATTCATATCAGTGGCTTTTTCTTCTATAGGCACTCGTTGGGGATAAGACACTGGCATTTTGGTTGATGGATGCTGAAATGTATACCAACATGAGTGTTCTGACCCCTTTTACTCCAGTTATTGATCGTGGAATACAGCTTCATAAAATGATTCGACTTATTACTCATGCACTCGGTGGAGAAGGCTATCTCAATTTCATGGGTAAGTATGAATTGAACACAAATCCAATCTATGTTTAAAATGTTAACTAATACTACATATGCATAAATTATGTGGAATATTTTGATTTGGCAGTTTAGATTTAAAACATAAAATTATAACCTTATGTCTTTAATAAGCTGTCATGTGTAAACTGCAAAAATTAAATTACTCTAAGACTAATACATAATGCAAAAGTAGTCTAATAGATTTTTTAAATATTATTGACATTTTTAATATTATTTAATATTATTTATTATAATATTTATTATTTATTTATTTTATTTATTATTTATTGTTTTATTTATTATTTATTACTTATTTATTTTATTTTATTTATTATTTTATTATTTATTATTTATTATTTATTATAATATTTATTATTTAATATTATTTAATATTTTTAAATATTAGTGAATTATTTTTAAAACTTAGAATTATTCTGAATAATATTAATATTAATAATATTAATAATAAAAATATTAATATTTTAAATATCATTGACATTTTTAATATTATTTATTATTTAATATTATTTATTATTTATTATAATATTTATTATTTGTTTATTTTATTTATTATTTATTGTTTTATCTATTATTTAATTATTTATTATTTATTATAATATTTATTATTTAATATTTAATATTTTTAAATATTAGTGAATTATTTTTAAAACTTAGAATTATTCTGAATTTAATTATTCTGAGTATTTTATTATAGTGTTTGCGCATTAAACATAAGATATAATTGTCATGTCATGTCATATTGTACTAATATTATTAGTTTTCTTTGAAGAAGTTTGATACCAGTATATTTTATGATAAATGACAAAGACTGGCTGAGGATATTGTGATGGCCAAAAAAATATTTTTTAAAATAGAAAAAAATTATGAGTATTCAAAGATCATTGTTGTCTGAAGGGGTTGATTGATGAAATACAGAAATCAACTTACACAGTTTTCTGTTCTCCTTAGTTAACAATGACCATTGAACATTTGAGTTTTAGGAGATTTTTGCAAGCTTTAGGCTAGAGAGAAACAGAAAGATTGATAAATACTTATGGGAAGCTGACTTACTTTTCTACATAAATGCCTTAGTGCTTCAAATTAAGTCATTTCTTTCTGGATGTTTTTATAAGGAACCTCAGATTGGACTTTAAAAAACTTCTATTTTTGTTAGCTTGAGGGTAGGAAGCCAAGCCCAATAAATCATACCCTAAATTTCACGTACATAACTATACCTTTGGGAGCATTCCTCTTCTCTCAGGATCATCAAAATGTGTTAACATTGCCAACATTCCAGGAAGTGCCCTTCCTGACCTGTAAGACTGCACCCTGCCACCCAAGCCCCAGACCAAATTCCATGAGGGAATTAGCAGGCATCGGCTCCACGAGTAAAATCAGCCATATTTCCTTAAAAAGAACTGCTTTTCCCTGATTCAATGAACATCATTCACAAATACAGCTATTCCAGTAAGGCCTTTGTTGCACAATCACTTTATTCAGTTATGTTCTGATAATAAAGGTGCAGTTATGAATCTGCGCAAATACCTATGTGTCCATGTAAACTAAGGAGACCTGGGGGTTAATGAGAAATTTTTTAATGTTTTATTTTATTTACAAAAGCGGAGTTTATAAAATTGGTCCAGTCTGTTGAGATGGAGTGAAGTGCGGCTCCTCGATCTGAGGGTCCCCATTCCAGGGGCCAGCTGAGGTGGGAGCATGTCCTGAGGTTGTCACAGATGGGGGAATAAACACAAGTTATTGCAAACACTTCTCTGTTTTCCAGGAGAGGAGACATGGCTCTTCCCTCTAGTGGAGAAGGCCTCAAGCCCCTTTTTCCAAAGGATTTTATTGAAAAGGTTATTAATGGGGTTAGGTAATAAGAATGTAGAGATGATATCATTATAGTAGTATGTTAATGTTTACAGAGAATAGATGATGTTTTGAAGAAAACAAATGGCAGGAACACACCAATTTACATGGGTCTGAGAAGAGACTAGTAAACATGAGAGCATAGTAAACATAATAGCACCAAAGTGTTTAGGGTTAGGGTCTGTGAATAATGTAAATTTTCTTCCCAGTATGAGCTGGCTATCATAGCTTTTGAGGGAGAAACAAAGCGTGCTTTAAAGAATTTACTTCTAGGCCAGATTTCCCCTGGAAACCGCCAGATCCAGTTTAGGGCTGTCTCCAGTATTGTTTCAAGCCTCAGCCAGGTGGGGGGAAGGGCAAGGCAACCAGGAAATAAGGAAATCTCTTTGAGATAAAATGAGGACCCTGGCTATATTCAAGCCGAGCCAAGAGATGCAGGTCTTTTTACCACTTCCCTGTGTCCCCCAAGTTTTTTCTTTCCCCTGATGCCTGTTTTGGCTGTGCCTGGCTTAGGTTGTCCCTTCCATCGAGCGATCTTACCCATCATTGACTACCTGCCATCTTCCAGGGCCAGGCAGGGTGATGTGAGGGAGGTGGGGGCTGTGCCCCTGCCAAGGGGACAGTTTTTATCTCCTCAGTGGTCTGTTTTCCCAAGGCCTCCTTTATTATTTCCAGCCTTGGGGCCCTCTAGCCTATTGGTGGGGCTACAATTCCTGAAACCAGACAGGGCGTTCCCCAACACCAGGCTATAGATAGTATAAGAAAATAATGAAAAGGGCTACGTTATATACTTGGAAACTACAACAGTTTTCCAAACAGAACCAAACTAAAAAAATAAAATAAGTCTGAGTTTATTCAGTCAGTAATATATAATTAATTCTTGAAGCTCACTGATTGAAAATTCTGGAAATCCTGACTCAGTCTATTGCTTTAGTCTGAAAGTTGTGAAAAAGTATTAAATATATGACTACTTTGATGTAATTAAAACTCAGAAGCCTGTACCTAATAGTAGAGAGTATCAGTAGTTTGAAGTACCTAATAGACTTCCTTTCCTGAGACTTTGCTCCTTTGTTGAAGGCAGTTCTAGCCTGTAGCATGTAACAGAGCCCCCAGGCAACCATCGAAGTAAAACAGAACTATTTACAGATGACAGACTTGATGCCCTAGAGAAGTTAATATTGATAACTTTCAAGTAAGGAAGGACTGATAAAAGTTCATAGTGAGAACTATTTCCTGAGCCTTGGTCAGTATTTTCCCTGAGGGTATAAATTGATCTCAGGCAGCTAGGATGCTGACAGATCTCCAGAACTCCATAAATGTTGTGAAATGTTTATATTAATATCACATTAACTGTATATGTTCAATGGTACATATCCAACCTGAATATAGGCCAAACACCTATTCTCTTTTGGAAACTCTTCTCATGGAACTTGCAATAGTAACACAAGCAATAAACACATTTCTAACATCTCTTTCTATAATGTCTGTAAATTGACCATGTTTGTGGTATCAAATATACTTTTGAGCTGATTCTTAGATATAAAACTCAGAGATCCTTTGGTGTTTTATTCCTACTTTTGTCCTTGAAATAAGTGGCTTCTAATACTTAACTTCAATATAGCACCTTTTAAAAAATTCCCTCTATCTCAGTATCTTATGTAAATCTTACAATTCTCTAACTTTAAAATCTGTAATTTCTAGATGGCTCTAATTTCTTATTTTTTTAATGAAATTTTTTTATAATGAAATTTAAAATTTCAACATAAGCTCACATGACTTTAAATATATATAGTTTTCCACTTTCTGACCATGTCACCATTCTTCTTACTGGCTTTAATGGTTACAGTGTTCCCCTGCTGACCTGGAAGCCTCACGTGAATAGTCACCCATGGGTTTCCCCACTGATCACTTGGCTGGACCCAAGCAAGTCTTCTGTCAGTTATTGAATGTACCAACCTTCTTCCACTCTGAACTTTGCATATGTTGCTGTTCTCACTCTTGGAATCATTCCATTTAAACACTCCCTCCCTTATCTGACCAAACCCTGTATCTACAAGTCTCAGATCCTTCGAGAGGCTTTTCCTAAAGTCTCAAACTACGCTAGTTTTCTTATTATATATATTTTATATTACTCTATACTTGCCCTTCATGACACTTAACAAAATGACATTTCAAAAACTATTAAATGTATGATTCCCTTGATAAAATTAAAACAGTAAAAATAGACGTCATCTGTATCTTAGTCACCTTTATATCTTCAGGTACTAGCGGCGACTAAGCACAGTAATCTAGCACTTCGGCATATTTTTCTGAAAGAGGATACCAAATGTATATAGAATATTACATAAAAATGTAATATTTTTAGCAGTGGTTCATTAGCTGCAATCACCAGTTGTAGTTTTAAGCAAAGTAATTTTTTTCAAGGGGCATATAAGAAATTAATATTTAAAAAAATCAAATTAAGAAATTCAAGACTGAGAAGCATCCTGTTTGTTTACTCATGTTTTAGGCATTTTAAAACTTGTTAGCTATCTGGGATTTTAATTTTATTTCCCTCTAATACAAGAAGAGTGAGTCGAAAGAAGTAAAATGACACATTTTTGTAGTTTTTAATTAAACCATGTTTACATAAATTTGCCAGTCATTTAAATATGTGTTCTCATCAAAAATCATTAACATAAATAATGAACTTTCTCAGAATTATATTACCTTGGCTCTTTTTGTTGTTGTTCTTTTTTTTTATTGTTTTCCAGTTAGAGTTGTTCCCATTTTCCCCCCATTACTCTCCCCTTCCCTGTCCTGTTTTTGTCTTATATACAGCTAATTTGGGGTTTTTTAAAAAAATTGTTCTACTCTGGTTCAAGCAGAGGAACATTTGCTATGAACTTTTTGATTCGCTAAGTTATGTTAATTGGTAATGAATAAATGCATTTATATTTCCTATTCTTCTGTCATATAGTCATATAAAAGACTTAAATATAGAAGAGGGAAGCAGGGATACTAGATTATTTTTACATCTTCATATTACTGATTGTAGGAGTTTATACTTTCTAAAAATTTTCATAAGCATCATCTTAATCTTCATAAAGTTTTTTTCTTTTTTTATACTATGCCTTTGTTCAAAAA